TCCCAGAATTCCCCAGCCAGCATAGCTGGGGAATTCTGGGAGTTGAAGTCCACCCATCTTAAAGTTGCTAAGGTTGAAAAACACCTTTGTAGACTAACTTTGCCACCAGGATTAAATAAACTGTGAAGTGCAGGTTATGAAAATTAAGGACAGGTGCAGAGCATCCTTGCAACTAACATTCTGAGGTTGCAGGATCCCAACGCTATGCACTTCTGGATGTGTTGGACCGCAACTCCCAGCATGCTGAGTTGTTGGCTTGGCTGGCTGAGAATTCTGGGCACTGTAGTTCAACACCTCTGGAGCATTCCAGGTAGGGGGAAAGAGCTATATTTTAATGGAGAAGTTGCTTTTGGAGAAACAGAGAGTCTTGAGCCGTTCAAAGAGGGTCGATCTATACACAAGCAGAAAGCACCAGCAAAGCTTTTGAAAGCCCTGCACAAATATAAACGCTTACGGGGGAAAAAGGAGATAAAATACCCTATCCATTCCATTGACCCCGAGTTTGCTTTGACAGGGTGATTGGAGAGGGGAGGGGTCAACAAAGTCAAGATGGCGATCAGAACCAAGCCATCGAGAGTCTGCTCCTTTTCTATGTGCGACGCAAGGCGGTCACCATCTTGACTTTTGTGATCTTCCCATGGACACCCCTACTGCTTTCATGTCATGCTTGATTTATTTGGTTTCTACTCGGATCCTGAATTCAGGGAGAAGTGAAGGCCTGGGAGGGGTGTCATTGGCCACCTCACCTTTCAATTCAGGACTGGGCGTTTTCTCTGTGTATTGTACGGGGCCAGATCCGCCTTCTCCTGGTTCTCGATTGTCCAGTTGCTGTTCCACCTGTTGCCAAGCTGGAGGTACAAAGAAAAGAAACTACTCGAAAAAGATCCCCAAGCCCATGGGTCACCTCCATAAAAACATTGCAAACTGGTGACCCCATAAGGCAGTGTTTCTCAACCTTGGCACCTTTAAGATGGGTGGACTTCAGTTCCCAGAATTCCCCAGCCAGCCATGCTGGCTGGGGAATTCTGGGAATTGAAGTCCACCCATCTTAAAGGTGCCAAGGTTGAGAAACACTGCCATAAAGACAGCATCATTGAATTCAACGATGCATGGGAAGAAAAAGACCAATGAAATGTTGCCTGGATTTTCACATGATGTTTACCCGCATTGGTGAAAAGACCTAGCAGCGGTGTTCACACAATATGCCAAGTTTGGTTAGTTTTAGCAGGGGGACCACAGCAAGGGATTCTGGGGGTTGTAGTTTGGCAGCACCCGGAGAGTAACACCCTCTGCACCTATTAAACACCACCACCAAAGGACCCAACAGAACTGGCCATCTGAATTGTCCTCCCAACGCCGGGCGTAGGATTGAAACAATTCATTTATTTGCAATATATACCACCCTGCAACATGGCAGAACCTACCAACCTTCAACCTTGGCTGATCTTAAAAAAAGAAATAATACCAAGAAGGTTGAGACGAGTTATATTTAGATAGGTCACTACCAGGAAAACCCACTTGAAGGAGACTTGAATGTATATATCTAAACTGCAAAATGATGTCACAGGATTTACCAATTTCCATCAGATTGCCTGTCACTCAGGATTTTGTGCCTCTTTGGGTGAGAAAGCTGTTCCCTGTAAGAATTAGCTGCAAGCCTGTCAAATGTTGGCTTACGATGACAGAAAATAGGGAGAAATCCGGTAGATGTTCCTTTCCATGGTTCTCAGTGACAGCCTTTCCCAAATTTAATTCTGCTAGGCCGGTTAGACTCCTAGCTGGCAGGGGAGAATGGAAACTGAAGTCCCACTCAGCTGAAGGGCACAGGTTACAGAACAGAGCATTTTGGATTTCTACCTATCTCCAGACAAATCTAAAAGCATTCTGTTTTATGCACATGGTTAACCTGTTGGATTCTGTGTCACACACCCCCCCCAACCCCCTTCAAGCATTATTTTGCTTATTTTGAGCAGAAGCCCGGGGGTCAAATTCCAAAAAGTGGGTTGGTTCAGGACCGAAAAACAGCCAGGGCAGAAACGAAACATGATTGTCGATTCATTCCAACTTAATCCAAGTTAACTTAAATTAAAAGCAGTTAACTCTGGATAGGTTAATTCATGCTAAGGTGGTCACGTTAAGGACCACAGGGGAGGAAGCCTCGGGGGCTACCCTCAAGACTTTCGGGGGGCTACATAGAGATTTTAGATGCTGTAGCAGGCGAGCTTATGCCTTTTAAAAAAGTCAGTTAGTTGGAAGACGTGCTATCCAACTCCTTCTGACTTTCATATCTGGAGAGGTAGCACCTTTTCCCACAAACCCATGTTATTAAAAGGAAGAAGCTTTAGGAAGCTGCATTCTGCCGTTTAATAAAAGGGAAAGAGCTTTTTCAAGGGGGGACACCCCATTGACGGAAGGCACTCCCTAGAGATGCTTGACGGGTGCCCCTGTTGGCACTGTTTCAGCACCAGGGAAAGGCCTCTCCATCTTCCCAGGGTTTTTAATTGCCTTTGAATTCATTGTTTTAGGCTTTGAATGACCGTCTTATTGCGGCTTAGTTTAGATCAGTGTTTCTCAACCTTGACCACTTTAAGATGCGTGGATGTCAACTCCCAGAATTCCCCAGCCACTCCCAGAATTCTGGGAGTTGAAGTCCACCCCTCTTCAAGTGGCCAAGGTTGAAACACACTGTCCCAGAATCAGCCAGCTTACCTTCGTACACAAACCGGACATTTTCTTCGTGAGCTACAGTGTAGTTTTCCTCTGTGGTTGTGGGGGGCGAGATCATCAATGGTGGTCTCTTTCCGTTTACCCTGTTGAACACAAGCTTGGGGAGGGGGCTGCAAAGAGAGAGAAGAGATAAAAAGATTTTATGGGTGCTGGCTTAAGACTGTTCACACACACCCTGCCGGTAAAAGCTTGCCAAGAAAATGGAACTGAAATGGTTTGCTCCAGGAGTAGAATAGTTGGAGGAGAAAAAGAACAAGTGTTTTGAAACACCCCCACCCCATGCGAGATGAGATGTGAGAAAGCAGTGAGCCTCCAGATGTTGCAAACTGCAACTCCCAGCATCCCATATTGTGGCCTGCACTGGTAGGGACTTCTGGGAGTTGTAGTTCAGACACATCAAAAGGGCCACGTGCTTCTTACTCATCCTGGACCAAGGTTGGCCAGAAGCAAGCGGGTCTCCCTTCAATGTTTTGAAGCCCTCAAGTCTTTTCAACAGTCATTGTTGCCCAGTTCACAATTGAATGTGCGCGTGGTTGGCACCTAAAAGGAGGAAAATCGGTATGCTAGGACCCAGATGTTTGCTTGCTGTGGTGGGAATGGCTTACCTGATTCACTCCAACTTTTGAGTGGATCCTTTTAGAACACCTCGACTGGAGAAGGTGGGATTTGTAGTTTAATGCATCTGGAGGACACCAGGATGGGGAAAACCAGTTTCCTGGGTCTCCTTCCAGCAGATGCATCAAATGCCTGTCAGTCCTGATGTGCATTCAACCGCTAGTAATTATATGAACTTGTCCACGATCTTGCCAGCAATATAGAAGGCATTTGCTACTGCACACAAAAGTAGTACAGGTAATCCTCATTTAGCAACCACAATTGGGACCGGCAACTCAGCTGTTAAGCGAAGTGGTCATTAAGTGAAGCGTGACTGTGTTTGTGATCTTCCTTCCGCTTTCCTTTGCTTTACAGACCTACGAAGGTCGTAAATGTGAGGATCGGTCATAAAGTTACTTTTTCATCGCCGTCATAACTGCGAAGGGTCACTAAACAAGGCAGTCATTAAAAGAGGATGACCTGTATTCCCTGGGGGTCTCCCATCCTAAAAGGCCCTTTTTAGCTTTTGCTGAAATCTATCTAAGCCAGCCAGATCGTACCACCATACCACCGCCTGTAGCACCCATCCTAAAACAGACTTAGCAGGATTAAATATGAAGAGCTGGAGGAAAAGGGGAAGATCCTGTTCTACCTATCTGCCTACACATTTGATGTGACCTTTCCCATTTTGCACAACCCCTCAATCCAAGGAAGGCAGATGGTAGAGAAACA